GGGAGAGTGTGAGCACAAAAGTATGTGTGATTCAACAGAAAACAAAAAAAGAGAAAATGTGACTTAAGAAACTAATCCAGGGTTCATACACTTTTGACCTGTTAAAATTCCATGACTTTTTCCATGACCTTTTGAAAGATTCCATGACCTAAGGTACACGAGCTCTGTTGCTTTACCTGACTGCTCACACGTATGTTTCACACTGACCGATTGGTTCACTTGAAATGCCTGAAAATTTGCATAAATTTCATGCAAGAATGCATTGTGAAAGAATGTTTGCAAACATTCTCACAGTGCATGCTTCTGTTTATTTCTAATAAAATTAAATCTGATTTTTGGACTCGTCAGTTAACTTTTCAACTATGGGTCTTATTGCCTTTTACTTACAGAGAGCATATTGATTTTCCGTGACTTTCCATGACCCACACCTAAATTTCATGACTTTCCAGGCCTGGAAAATGAAATTTTGAAATTCCATGACTTTCCAGGTTTTCCATGACCTGTGCAAACCCTGTAAATATTATAAAATGAATTTACTATCACTGGTGTATCTGTTGTAGTTCAATTTTATCCTTAGTTCAAATTTTAGTTTCCTTTGCTTCAAACTCATTATCATACATTAACATGACCGAGTACAAAGGAAAATAAAATTTGAACCAAGGATAAAATTGAACTACAACATATCCAATGGAAAAATAACTTTGATGTCAACATCTGAGAAACCTAGTACTTGAAATGAACTTAATTGACAGGCACTTGGAAAAAAGAACAGACTGTACTTATAATAGCAAATGTATCATGTACAAGTAAGAAGTGTATAAATGTATGAGTAAACTGTGCAATCTTATGGGGTACTGTGTTACATTACATGAAAGCTTGAATAGAAGAAAATATTTGAAAATTCTACTATTGTTATTTCAAACAGACTGATGTATGGAAATTCTGAGTAGTTACTACAAGCCTGTCAATATAAGTTAAATGTAGGTGTTTTTCACTGATTTGCAGGTTTTGTACTTATTTGTTTTAAGGCAAGGGATAACCCCTTTGAGACTGTCTTGCTCGAAATTAAAGGACCAGGAAGTTGTGGACTTCTTGTGCAACTGCTAACAACCAATAAAATCAAAGCAAAAAGTGAAATGAACACAATCCTACGGAAAAAAGGGTAAGTGTCAGTATGTTGATGAATTCTGACAGGAATAACCCGTAAGCCCTAAGAGTGACTAACGTCTTATTTGTCTTTTCATTAACCCCCTGAATTGCACTTTATTAAGGTTACACGATTAAAGGAAATGATCACCAACTTAGGCAGGGGTGGATCCAGGAAATTTTTGATCGGAGGGTCCAAAACTATGGTTCAGAAAGGACTGTTGGACTCTTTTGAGGCAAATTACTTCACCCCCACACCCCCTCCCACTAGTCATGGTTGCACGTTATAATTCCTTGGCCGCTTACTGTTTACTTGGATTCATTAAAAAATCAGCGAGTTAAAAAGTGATATATGATCCTGTTGATGTGAGAATTTCAGTCTCAAAGTTGTAAGCGCAGGGTCTGATAGGGGTCCAAACCCCCCAGATCCTCCCCCTGAATCTGCCACAGTTAGGCAGACCTTAATTGTTAAACAAATTCTCTTTGTTAGCACCTTTACCTTACAAAATGCATAGAGAACAGAATTGTATTGCTCTGATGGATGATATTTAAAATTCATTAAAAACATATAAAGACAATCTAAAACCATGAGACTTGTGAGGTTTTGGCATTTCATTTAATTCCAAAGGTTGTTTAATTCAACTTAATCTTTTTTGGAATTTTCAGGGGTGTGTTTAAAGAGGCAGGATCAGTGTCTTTTCTCTATGATTACAAAGGTAACATCTCGAGAATTTCCTAGGTATTGCAATCTTTGTCACTCAAATTTAGGGAAGAGTCTATACTATATACACATTACAGACTAGATCAACTCCCCAGACGTATTGGGGTAAAATGTTGACCAGTAAGAAATTATGCCAAACAGGCCTGAGGAGGTTCTTCTTAAAAAAAGCTATTAATGTTAGTTGTATTGTTGATAAGTGCAAGCGTTACAGCCTAGCATATAGCTCGCAAAACTTATCCAGTCACTGTGAAATAAATGAGATGCAATCACGCCCCAGTTATTTGAAGGTTGGATAAGGCTATTGTGATATTATTTATGAAGTAGTGGTCAAAACCGCTGATATAGAATATTGCATTTACAAAAAAGCGTGGCAGTGACGTTCTTGTAAATTGGTTGAGGTTGATTTGTTTACTTGATTAAAAACTGTTTGGTTGAGTTTCTTGTTTGTGCTCATTCAGAGTTAAGGACCAACACAGCTATCCACTAGACAAATATCAATCTGGTGAATAGTGCAGTATGTTTTGTAAACACTTACCTGCTGGATAGAAATTTAACGGTTGAATAGTGTCATTCACCCTTTTTACCACTGTTCTCAGGAGGACATATTGCTTCTCTTCTTGCTTGAGATACCAGTCCAGTCCTTGACATTTTTTTAGGTTCCCATAATGGTTCATTGGTTCCTAGTTATTATTCCTGGTTGGAGAGAGGTACTGTGTGAGCAAAGTGTCTTTTTTAAGAACTTTGTATGGTGTTGTTTAGCTGGGATTCAGTGCAAGATCTAAGTACACCCTACATCAACCTAACATTGGAAGTCTGTGCTTTTTCTTTCAACTTTAGAGCACCTGAGTCTCATAATAATGATAGAACAATTTCTTGTGAAGTAATTGTGATTAATATATTTACTAATGTTTTCTCACACAGGAACAATAACCATGGAAGATTTTCTTTTTACGGAGGAAAAACAGGAGTTACCTGATTATCCTGACTATGAGAGTGTTGAAAAGGTGAGTCACTTTGATTTGTAATGCGAGTCTGTCTTGATAGAAAATTTAAAACATTACAATTTCCTGCATTAACTGCTACACGTATGAGTGTAAATTTTAAGTGTGTTCCACTTTATTTAGTTTGGCAACTGCTAGAGAAAAAAGCAAGATTGTCAGTACTAGAGTTTATTTATTTTTACTGAGCAGAGTTTTTAGCATAATTAAGACAGGGATAGAGTGATAGAAGTTTTGTCTCATTTTAGTCACTGTTATTATGGTACACATCGACCATATACAATACTTACACAGTAGAATAAAGGCTGATAGTTTCGAAAGAAACTGTTTGGGGCTGCATCGGTGGGGGTAACGAAATAATTAGGATATATCAACAAAGTTGAAATGGTAAATTGGCCACCGTAACGATTACAAAAGCTGACGTTTCGAGCGTTAGCCCTTCGTCGGAGCGAATAGAGGAATTGTGGGTTGTGGCAGAAAATGGAGGTACGTTATTGGTGGGAACATGGCAACAAGAAAAACAAGAATAAATTTGTGGAATGAAAAGCGTTCATTGATCCCTGTGGGATTTAGACTGCCGGTTTGAAAGATGAGCTTTTGTTCAAGATTTTTACGGCTTTCCGTGCTACCTAAGAGTAAGGAAAGACCGCAGATTGCCATAGTAGAGACTGAATAGTGGTCAAATTTAAAACAAGATTTGTATCCTCTGTAGGCAGAAGAAATAGCAATTGAATGTGGGGCAGAGAATATGTTCTTTAGTGAATCTGAAAATGGAACAAAAAATATAAAGGTATGTCAGTGTGAAGGGCCTTAATCACTGATATGTACAGAAATTGTATATATTAGTCTGTTTACATTTGGAACTGGACTCTTTTATGAAGGATTAATAGCATTCCTACTAAATTATACAAACATAAAATTTCAATTTTGACTTGAAATCATTCTTTGTTTGGTTTTTTTTAGCACAGTCTTATGATGTAATAAAATTGTTGTTATTGGTGATTGTTGTTGTTGGTTTTTTACTATCAATGTGAATTAACACTTCAATGTATCATTTGAAAGTGTTTCCCTGAGTCAAGTGGTCACTCAATAATACATAGAGTCAACGTATACAATATATAACAATTACAAGATTTCAAATGAGGACTGTGCAAAACACCTACTGTACATCTATTAGATGTATTCACCAGAGAAAGTTTCATCCACACAAAAACAATAATCGTTAAGGTGTCAATCTGATTCTCCCTAATATTCCAATTATTGTAGCCCAGAAATGTCCCACCAAGGTTATACCTCACCCTTCTAAATCCCTTGCATCTTCTGAAGTGATCTTTTTTATGATGATATTGTTTCACCCAATCAAAAGTCCATGCATTAAGAATTATAAATTATAACCTCTGACCATGCATGATCTCCATTACTTTGAATGCAGTTTGCTCCCACCAGAGCATAACCACCAGTTATTTTACCTTGCTTTCAGTTCATCTGTGCAGTGGAAGATGTGAAACAAGTTTATAATGACTTATCCAATAAGTTCCCTGATGGAGTTCTCTCATCAGAACTGGAATACTTTCCACGAACACTTGTTTCTTTGTCTGAAGAACCTTTAGAGCAAGCAGAAAGACTGATAGATACCCTAGAAGATCATTTGGATGTAGTTAGAGTATATGACAATATCAAGGAGTTTCCTAGTTACACTTGCAAATTGTTCTGTTCCACGTGACAGATCTTTCTTAACTTTGGAGTTGACACAAACTGCCATTCATAACCCCCCAACTTATAAGCTCTCTCTAGTTATAGACCCATCTACTGATAAACGAAAAAAATTACAGCCAGTTATGAGCTATAAGCCGCCCTTTAGCTTTTCTTGTTTTGAGAGATAGTCACTTAGCACAATGTGACATTTTGAAGCTTAATTCACCAGTAAATACAAAACATATTACAATCTGCACTGGGATAAATAAGTTGCAATTGCTCTTACTATTCCAGTTGTAAGCCCCCTCAGATATTTATAAACTGTTCTAGAACTGCATACAGAATTGTAAAAGCTGAGGGCTTATAAGTAGCAGTTTACAGTGAGCAGCAGACTGCTTATGTTTAAAATTTTCAGACATACCCGAGGTTAAATTGGCAAAATTTAAACCAAGCCAGTTGTGAGGGGGTTCATTTAGAAAAGTCAGAGGTCAACTGAATTTCGTAAATTATTGAGCAATCAAACTAACCAAGCATAGAGGGAAATATGGTCTATATTGAGCAAGAGAAATAAAGATTGTGAGAAAGCTTCTTAAAATTAAGTTTTCAGTGAGAAAACATCAATTTAAAGAAACTGAAATTGGGCAAATATTTTGCATATCATGCTGCATTTTATATCCTCTTTATATCAAGGGAGTGACTGTTAGGTTGGCTTGAGTCCTATAACCTGGATAAAAGTGGAAAAAAAAGAGAAGATCCTCCTATTCAATTCCTTGTCATAATTTCGTCATGTTATTCATCACTTTGAAAATAAAAGACATGACTTGGATCAAGGTTTGTCCACTTACCATTTCATATCGAACCGGTTCTCATGGTATAATTGTTTAAAAGATAAAAGTCTTCAAATACAATCTATTCAAAATATGTTATTTAAACAATTTATTGTTTTGAACGTAAATATTGTCTTCCAACATGTAAATATATCATCCTACAAAGTAATAAAATTTGCTGCTTATATATGGATAGGGCTCTCACTAATAAAAGGAGAATATGACGAAGGGCGTTATGACTACTTGCTCTTCAAGTAGAAAAGACACTTTAAGCCTAAGGGAAGACCAAGGTGCATGTTCCCTAATGGTTGGGAATATAAAGATTTGAACCATTTCACACACTCTGACATATTCAAAGAAATGTGCCACTCGGTTGGCAAAGTAACAAACAACTACAAGTTAGATATCAGTGGGGAACTACAACAGATGTATGTAATGCTCTGGATCAAGAGCTCTAGGTTGTAGACCTGGCTACAAAATCCGATGCAATGCTGGGGGGGGGGGAGGGGAGAGAAACCTTCAGTGACTAGTATTCTATACAGGGGGAGTAGTAATACCCAATGACACATGCTAAAAAAGAAAAACTGCAGAAGCCCCAACCCACTTAGACTTAAAGTTGACAAAAAAAGGAGCAAATACATGTATCATTGTGGAATGTTGAAATAACTTTCAAGCGAGAAGTCTGTGCATAAACTTTTACATTAACTTCACAACAATTTTCTTCATTTCTTTAAAGTCAGCTACAAGGCTGTCAGTAAGTTTCAAAGTCCAAGGCAGTTAAGAAATAGTAGGTGGCAAGACAACAGGGCATGAACCAGACTGTAAGCGAGATTTCAACCAAACAGGGCATATGTATTTTCTCTTTTTCATGCTGAAGCAGAATGACCAAATAATTTTACATTGTAATTCCTAGATTTGAATACCTGAAGGTCCCAGCTTCAGATCCTCCCCTTTGTCAGACATTTATAGGGCTTGACACTCACGGTAGCCCACTAGCCACAGACTAGTGGAAAATCAGTTCTGGCTAGTGGTTTTTGATTTCCACAAGCCAGTAAACAGACTGAAATTGTCGTAACATCTAAGACATCACCAGCCACTTGGCTAGTGAGTTGAAAAGTTAGTGTTGAGCCCTGCATTTAGATTTGTTTTCATTAGTCCAAAGATCACATTCTTTACTATACCTTGTGAATTAATAACCAAGTAGTTTCCCTCTCATTAGTGGAGATCTTCAAAAAAATGTATCAATTTACATGTATGTTCCATTTACTCTACTTCACTTTACATTTAGTGTTTTCCAAGTACAGTCTAAAGTTACTACTAAAGAAGAAGATATTACTTTCTTGAGTTCCATGGGATCACACAGCCAAACAAGAGAAAGTTACCTGTTTTGGATAGCTTCAAAGGCATTTCCATATAGCTTTAGGCATATATTGCACTAACAAAAAGCACACACTTAAACTATGAATACTAATACATGAAGCAAATTGCCAATCTAAAACAACACTTGAGCTCTGTAATGCTTTTGAAGTTTGTTTGCTTTGACTGAGATATCCACTGTTCTTGTGGCTTGTTGCTTGTTTTGTAGCCTGACATCTTTAACTTTTTGGCGTGATACACTTCCAATGGTGCCATGCCAACCAAGAGCTTTATAATCAGCCACAATTTTGTGGATCACCTTTGAATGACGACTTCTCTCTGGAGGCAAGCTTTGCTTATAGATATGACGTAAATTACGATGACCAATTTTAGCTCCTGATGGCAGGCAAAGTTCTAATGTCTGTTCATCAACTGCTAATGTGTTCTCTCTTTCAATTTCATCACTGCCATTTTCTTCACTGGGATCATAATCAGGGTAACTACTACTGAAATCATAAAAATCAGCATACTCCAAAATAGCATCTCCTTCAGAGTCCATTTTTGTGTGGCCCTTGTCAACCATGTGCTTTTGCACAGCTTCGGTAGAAAAGAAGTTCTTTCCCTTCTCATTACAATAAAGACAGATGTTGCCAATACCAACCTTTTCACCCAGGTAGGTCAGTAATCCTTTCAGGTCCACTACAAATTCTAAGTCAGGTATGAAAAAGCTGTGCGAGCGTGTCATGTGTCTCATGCTGTCTTCCAAACTGACGCTGTGATGTGGACAAAACAGACAATCTGTCACCTCCAAAGCTTCTTCCTCAAAGTCACTATCATAGTCATCGTCTTCATTACTAGATGAGTCAGCATTTTCAGATGCACTATTCTGTTTTCTTATTCCTTGCTTCTCCAACTCTACCTTCTCCACAGAAAGACCTTTTCTCATCATATTTTCCTCCTTCTTGGATTTAGCAATCTCCAATTCTCTATGCTTCTTTGAACTCATGTGGTTCGAATAGGCGTTCTCAGAGGAAAAAGTCTTGTTACAAAGCTGACAATTCATCGTTTTCGTTTTACTCTGCTGCTGTGCCTCGGCTTCAGCGTTTTGCTCAAGAACTTTTTGCTGGAAGACTTCTGCGGTTACAGGAGGCATTTCTGCGACTTTTCTTTTAAGATTGTACCGATGCCAATCAGTTTTGTAGTGACGACGTTGAATTTCACCATCGGCAAAAGCCACGCGACATGTTATGCACGTAAACAAAGGCATTTTAGCGTTATCCCACCTTTTGAAAATTCAGAAGAATCTTTTAAATCACACCTCACTGGTAAACAAGCGTTAAGATAATCCCGGAAGCGGTAAAAAAAAAAAAAAAACAGAAAAATACTGCACTTCAAGCACCTTCTATACTGTGCATTACACCAACGTGGTGGAAATGTTCTTTCCAAAAAAATCTTACGCAACGAAGCAAGGGTTTCTGGGTAACTTATGCTGAGCCGCACAATATTATCAGCGGTGTAATTAGTTATGGCGGCCATTTCGAAGAGGGAAGTTGGATGCATACGAAATAAACTTATTCATTCTCCTAGCTTTTATTGACCCTTTTTAACAGAATAGATGTCAGCGGGAGGATTAACAGAGGAACAAAGGAGGAGAATTGAAGAAAATCGTCGAAAAGCTCTCGAGAAACGAGCGGCTCTCCAGGATCAACGACAGCAGCAAGCGCCATTAGTAAAAGACAAAGCTGATGGTAATCGTAATGTTACAAACCTAAGAGGCTCTAACGTAAATTCACAGAAAATTCCAGCAGGCTCCTTGGCCTCTACATCTAAAACCTTCAACTCAGCAGGAACGATAAATTCCTTTCAAAGATCGATCTCCAAATTTTATTGTCCTCAGACTCCTTCATCCACGAGAAATTTTAAAGACACTAGTCCATGCAAATCGTCTGGTGGAACAGCAACTACAACTAAATCAACTTCTTCAAGAACAAGTCCAAGAGCAGGAACATCAAAGCCAAATACTGGTAACGTTTCGAATTTTAAGGGGAATTCAGAGAAGCAAGTGAAGGGGAACTGTACACTGATCAGCAGACACCGATTTACCGTAGTGGTTCCTTATCAAGCACAGCTCATAGGAATTTTCAAGACTTTGCCAAGCAGAAATTATGGTATGTTGGCTTTTACAGTTTTTCAATCAATCAATCCATCAATTTTTCAATCAATCAATCAATCAATCCAAAATATTTCTTTCAATCAATCAATCAATAAATCAACCAGTCTATCAATCAATCTTTCAATCAATTAGTCATCTTTCAATTAATCTTTCAATCAATCTTTCAATCAAATTCAAACCTGCAAACAGGGAAAATAGTCATTAGGAAGATTTGGATGAGGTTGGGAATTACACTTAGTAGAGACTGATATCTACCTTTTTCCTGATTGGCTATGGGGATTACCCATATTTAAGTTCTTTGACAGTCACTCATAAAGTGATCAACACACATGCACATCTTTTGCCCATGTTTTTAACTTTCAAGGATAGAAAACCGAGGTAAGAAGCCTGCATTTGTTGGTATGATTCATGATTCAGTGTACAGTATATAAACACTGCCAAGCTGTTGTCCATTCCAAAACATCAACACTAACTTCCTTATCTTTATTTTCAGATGCAAAGACAAGGCAATGGGACTTTTCTTTGACAGATTATGATAAGCTCAGTATGTTAAATCAGGCATTCTTAATTATTTTATTTTTTTGTTAATGGCAGTTTGTTTAATTATATGGAGCTGACCTCTTCCCAACACAATGGTGTAAGTGATAATCACATGAACCAAATCTTGCTAAGGTGCTGTTCTAAAAACCTTAAGGCTGATTAACTTTTAATTAAAAAATCTGAACTAAAGATGGACCGAACATTCACTTCTTTTTGGAGTGGGGAATATTCTGCAATTATTCACCTTTAGTAAGATAATTACAGGGAATTTAGACACAAGAATCCAAGTGTGTTTGCCCTTTACTTGTCCTCAGGAGCATAAATTATGCCATCAACAGTCTCTCTCTAGAGCCTCCTGTCCCAGCATCCCTCTCTAGCTGACACCAACTCTTGCCTATGGACTTGATCTCTGCTTCCGGCAAACGTCTCCAGGTGTTCTGTGGGTGACCTCTTTTTCACCTCCTTTGAGGATTCCACTTCCTAAGGGTTGAACCAGTATTTGTTTTTAATTTTTTTTGCTAAGCTTGAAGGAAACAGAACTTTCCTAGCTTTTACCACTTTTCAAACAACTATTGTAAGAGCCCTTTTTTTACTCTGATCTCTCTTTATTCCATTGCAAGAGGAAAAATTGTCCTTGAAACTCAGTTTGGATACATTGATATCAACAATCATGTGTGATTTATTCAACAGTGCAAACGGTTCACTCCCTATCCCCTGATATTACAGTGGAAGGATTACCTAAAGCAGTGAGATCAACATTTCTTAAGACTACTCCAGGCACTCTGGAGGAAATGCCGACCAGTGATATCAATTTAAACTCTGTGGATCACAAGCTTGTTAAAGCACTGATGCCATTTCAATTAGAAGGAGTTAGGTCGGTTTTGTTTTTGGTTAACCTTCTAGTTATAACAACTGTAGAGTCTCATTTATCTTCAGAATTATGACAGAAACTAACCTAGGAATTGTGGTAACATGAAGTCCTGTAAAGGCTGCTGACCGGCAAGCAGCAGAGAAGAATCCAAGAGGATTTATTAAAAGCTTGTGTTCTCACCGATCTGTGTAGTATTTGAGAATTCGTGTACCGAACATAACAGGATCGAATTAGATTTTAAGATGTCACCAGAAGAAGATAAGATAAATGTTCCTTTTGCTTTGAATAATTTTTCAGCAAGCAGTGATGATCACAATTATAATTTTGTAGCGGTGGTTGGTAAATGGAAAAAATAGTATGACTCAGATTGCAACACAAATGTGGACATGCTCAATAACACTTGGAACTGTAGCATATCTCTAGGGAATGGGAAGCCACGCATCGAAATTAGTCTGCTTCTGAGGATTTTCAAGAATGACTTAAACACAAAGGTGCAATATAAAAGGAGCCTTAGGTCCCACTGAACCATTTGTCAATCAACCATTGTGTGATGTAGAACTCTAAGAGTCAAGTCAGCTTGAGCTACAGCTACTCCAAAGCAGTGAACAGTGGGCACATTCCTCAAAATTGTTTTATGTCTTCATCACAATACAAGAATTTTTGAGATTTGTATTTCCTTTCTCCAATGGAAACTTTATTTGTGGCGGTAAATTTGAGATCGAAGTAGGTGGTTAGCAGGTTACCTCATGCTACCGTGCTGGTGGAAGTAAACAATAGATATCTCATTCGCTCCTTTTGTTCGTCTAACAACATTTAAATTTGACCCGCACACGTCAATGGTGAGTGACAAAAGAACCTAGGTCTTCCCAGGGAAGACTTCTTTATATAGCACCCCTTTGTGTTTAAAGAATTTTAGGAATAATTATCACTTCTGCCTTCAATGTTCTGTTACTTACGCCTCTCATTAGTTTTGGAATACGCCATGATGGAAGAGTGTTGATTGCTGATGACATGGGACTGGGAAAGACAATCCAAGCCATCTGCGTAGCAAGCTATTATCGCGTTGAGTGGCCCCTACTGGTTATCACACCATCCTCTCTCAGAATAGCTTGGCGAGAGGTACATTTATTTAAAATATGGTGTCATATAATTATAAGGAAAGAGACAAGTCATTGTTTCGAGGGAAGGAAATAAGTTTGAGGAAAGGTCTTAAATTTTATTTCAATCTGGAAAAAAAGAGTTAATGAAGTGATTGAAAATGTGCTTAAGGAGAAAGAGGGCTCAAATTAATCAGATATGGCCTCACTTTGAGTGCACCAGCCATTTGCCAAAAAATAAAATCCTTAAATCCATTTGCACAAGTTATTTTAAAATTGACTCCTGGAGAGGAAGATGTTTTGTTTTGTTTTTTTTTTGTTTGTTTGTTTGTTTCCTTGGTTTCTTTTTAATAACCTCTCTAGTGGGAAAGAAGTTAAAAATTTTAATCAGTAAATTTGTGAAAGGTATGGACTTGCGAGGGCATCATCATATGACAGTAAAAGCTTTGAATTAAGAACTTTCATTTATTCTCTTTGTTTGCAGGCCTTTATCAAATGGCTCCCCTCTGTTGACCCAGAAGACATTAATGTAGTCCTTACTGGAAAGGACAATCCAACTGCTGGGCTTATCAATGTAATAAGCTATGATCTTATGTCTAAATGTGTAGAGGAGTTGAAGAAGAAACGGTTTAGAGTCATTATAGTGGTGAGTCCAAGTCAGGCTGAAAGAGTTATCTCCGTCTGAAGATATTGTGTGTTATCTACAAACTTTGTCACAAAGAGAGTCTTCAAATCTATTCTGAAGCAAGCACTAAGTTTTAGATATATAATCGTTACTGTTTTTGTTTAAGCATGAAAGCTGTAAAAAAGTTGATCATCTAGACAGTCAGTTTGTCATTCAGTCAATCAATTAGCCAATCAGGTAATCAGTCAGATTATTAGTTACTCAATCT